TAACAAATTGTTGTCTGATGTGGAGGGGGCCCCAGATGTGAAGGGATGGGAAAACAGGGACACTCCACTTGGTCTTGCAAAAGAAAGTGTAAAATTCCACTTGTCTTTTGTCTAGGATCCCCCCCTTAAAATCCATACCAGAACCTTGTCCAAGTTAAGGGTTTGGTATTGATATTGGGGGGGTGGGTTTGTTTTTTGCAATTACATTACATTTAAATTTAAATTTTTTACATTGTAGTCTGGGGTGCCTCCAGGTTTTGCATACGTTAAAAAGGTGCAGTGGCTAAAAAAAGAAACCCTGCCCTAAATGTGGGTGTAACATGAAACATGGCCCAAAAGGCAAACATAACATTTAATGGTAACCTCTGCAGGCCAGTTTGGTGACATCATCAGAAAAATGAGTTTCCTGGCGATGGCAATCGTTACCCTGCAGAGGGAAAGAAAAGAAAAGCACAGAGAAATGTGTCCTTTCAGGATAAAGCAATGAGTAGAAGTTATTTAGTGTTTTGTGAACTCTCAGGGCAGCTGAGCTATATGGAGGAGAATTGCTTTCAGTATAATACATTGTTGTTCCTTGAGCACTTGGCAGCTGGGAGTGGCGAATGTGACTGGATCTGAGCCATACAAAGGTGCATTCAGCCAGGAGATAAACATGATTCATAATACGCCTAGCTGTACAGATTCTGATATTTACACCTGACAACAAAGCTGAAGCAATAGGTTACTGCAAGCTGAAAACAAACACCTTGTATGGTCCAAAGCCTGACTTGTAAGTGTCATGGGTGCCTTTATATGAGTCATTTCAGATCTATATTAATTAAAGAAGAACTTCAGGAAAATAGAAAACGTACACATGCAATGGGGATACCTCCACCTTGCAAGGGTTAAGTGCTCATTTTGTCTAGGGGCTCAAATAAAGCAGATATACTCACCCGATCCTCAGTCGGCACAAACCTCTCTTCCTCACTCCACTCCGGCTGTACAATGTTCCCCGACGTCCTCGCATGTCAATTTACCTGCATAAGACGTGATGATGTCAGAGGTCCTTAGATCGCCGCTGCAGGGACCGGTCTAGCAGCCTGGCGGGACCGAAGATCAGGTGAGTATATACTATATTTGACTCCCCTAGACAAAACAAGTAGCTTAACCCTTTGCAGTGCGTGGGCGGCCCTACTGCAAGGGTACATTTGTATTTTTCCCATTCCAGTAGTGTTTCTAGACTGCATGTTTATAGTCTACACTATTGAGCCGCCTGCTTTTTGTATATGTGTTGTAGAAGTAAAAGGAAATGTGATTAGTCATGTGAACGCGTACACTTGCCAAAGCACAGCCAAGCAGGTTTTACATGAATACTGTGTCATTTCCAATGTTGCCATCTCCTTTTGGAGAGAAGACTCCAAAGCACTGTTATCTCCAAACATCTGCGCTGCTATGCTTGTAACCTCGTTATAAGAGTTGCATGAAAAATCATTCATATCATGTGATGCTCCCTTTTAAATTCTTAAGGCATGGACATGTGTCATTCTTGGATTGAATACAGTAATCTGCAGAAATGTTGAATTTAGCAAATATTTGCAATGCATTTAACAAGCTTCAAGCTTTGGAAACTTTGACAGTAGAACTAAACCTGCTGTAAGCATATGTAAAGTAGTGGTAAGCGCTCAATATTTTCTTCAATATCCCGATCAAACAAATATACATTGCCTTGCAAAGTATTTCTTTACATTTTTGCCCAAACAGTCATCATGTTGCCAAACAGCTCCAACTCTCTCAGCTTGGCTTCCCTGAACTTCCTGTCTAGTATACGCACAGTCTCCAGAAGCAGTCCTACTACTAGCTTGCAGCAGGAGACGGGGGAGTGGCTTGCCCTGCTGTGCCTGTGTGTTTGTGGAGACACACACTGCCTATTAGCACACACAAGGGTGGCTCCATAGGACCATGCAAGGGAAAGGAGACACCCCTAAACAAGGATATCAGGCCTGGTGCTTAGAGGACCAGCTTATTCTGCAGGAAACGTAAACTTTTAAACGTCAAGGAGAAGCATCCGCTTTAGGTGATTTAATCAGCATCCAAAATAGCTTAAAAACATTTTTTTGACTTTAATGTCACTTTAAAGTAAATTTAAAGAAGAACTCTGGGGTAAAAATGTATTACCCCTTGCAGTGACACTGGCCCCACACTGCAAGGGTTAACTGCTCATTTGTGTCTAGGTGCTAAAAACAAAATTCTACTCACTCGAACTGCTGAGAGCCGCCTCCCTGGTTCTCCTGTCACTAAAGCCCGTCCCCCCCTCTTCTGCACAGATGGAATTTTCCTCAGCGCCCTCATGTTTATACACTTGCATAGAACGTGATGACAAAAGGATCAACTAGACACAAATGAGCAGTTAACCCTTGCAGTGTGGGGGTAGCCCCACTGCAGGTGTTAATAAAATTTTCCCTGGAGTTATTTAAAGTCAAAATGTTTTTAATCTATTTGATATGCTGATTAAAGGCTTTATTCACACATGCCGAATATGTGCGGAACTGCGCTAAACCTAAAAAACAATGCATTGCCATGCACATTGTTTAGACTATTGCGGCATCCACGCATCCTGCAAAATAGTCCAAGCGTGATTTTTATGGGCGGATTACGCACATATGTTACCGTTTGCACAGGTTTAGTTCCGAACGCTACCGTTTGTGTGAATGGAGCCTTAATCACTTATTGTGGATGCTGCTCCTTGTTTAAAAGTTTTTTTGTTTCCTGCAGAATCATCTGGTCCCCTGAGTACTGTCCCTGATATCCTTTTTTAGGGTGGCTCCTTTCCCTTGCAGGGTCCTATGGTGTTGCTAGTAAGCTGTGTGTGTCTTCACAAACCCACAGGCACAGCAAGGCAAGACACTTCCCTGCCCCCTTCCGTTGCTCTTCTCTAAGCTAGTAGATGGATAGTTGCTGGAATTTGCTCTCTCCCTTGTGATCTTTTACTGGACAGGAAGTTCAGGGAAGCCGGGCTGAGAGAATTGTAGTTGTTTAGAAACACGATGACTAGAAGTGTTTGGGCAAAAATGTAAAGAAATTCTTTGTTGGACAAGTGATATTTGTTTGATTTTAGATTGTAAGCCCTCACGGGCAGGGCCCTCCTCACCATCTTGTCTTGGATTGTATTGTAATTGTAATGTCTTCCTTATATTGTAAATTGATGTGCAAATTGTTAGCGCTATATACATCCTGTATAATAATAATCTGGATTCGTTATTATATAACCGGTTTGTGAGGCTAATACTACTTTTAATGTCTAAAATCCAAATCAGTTTCTTTTTTTTCCTTACATTTTGTGAATGATCTAAAGCCTTTCCAGATTTATATTGCTCTGTCTCACAAAAAGGAAATTTCTTCTCACTTCCTATATCAGTAAGATACTCTCACATTCTGACATGAGGGGTGTTAATGATAGTAAGGAAGTAATAAATTCGACTGAGGGCTCAGTCATTACAATCTTTACAGTTACTAAACCTAATCCAGCTAGCTAAAGTTTTTTGTTTTTGTATTTCTGTTATTCAGATGTTGTACTCCCTAACCCTTCCCCAGTCTATGTTTAGGAGGTGACTAGGACCAGTTGGCAAGATCAACAGGTATTTTCTGTACTTGCTGAAAATGTTCTTAGACAAAAAAGGAAACTAATGCAGCCACCACATCTAGGAACAGGTAAACTGCAATATATTAAAGGAGAAATATGGGATAACTTAAAAGCACTCATCCCCATAGTTAGGTGCAGTGTCACACATCGGCTCGAGAGCTGAGCTATCACAAACCTGCTGACTGCTCGCTCTGACTGGGGGGGGGACAAACAGGGGAGGGGGCAGGCACAGATGGCTTGGGCTCTAGAGAAGCAAAGTCAGCTGTCAATCAGGCAGCGGGGTGGAACCTGACAATATTGTCGGGTTCCTTTGCTGCTCTGCGCTGTCAGCATATAGCGAGCAGTGGCCTGCTATGCTGAGTTTTGAGTCACAGGAGGATATTAGTAAATGTCCCCCTGTGACCCAAAAGAGAATTTTAAACCAAAAAAGGTTTGCCCGTAGTTCTGTTTTTAAATATTTGTTTAAAAAAGCTGACCCACCAGCAGACATATTTGTTTTACAACTGAGCACACAGCTTAGGCACTGTATAAAAGCCTTCCTCCTAACAAGGCAGTACAAATAGTAATGATCATGTGTAAAGTGTAGTAGCCCACAGTAGTAACTAGTATCATGCTCAGTCCAGTGAAAGTTGAAGGTTGATCTGGGTTACTGCACTTTGCACATGATCTAATTACTATTTGCACTACTAGGTAACTTTGGTTTGATAAATCTATCAAAAAGTGACACCTATATCAAATGTTATATCGGGGCCCCATAAAATGCATGTGAATAATGGGGAGTCCTCCCTGTTTTAAAGGCTTATGATGAAAAATGTTGTCTTGAAAAAAAGTAAACCAACTTGCTGAACCGGGACGGGGAGAACATATTTTAAAAATAGCTTCTTGAACAATATCAATCCAGTCAGCTGCACGAGACCGAGGTCCATAAAAATCCAACTTTAGTGTTGTAAATTCCATGCAAAGTTCAAAATTCAAAGTATACACCACCATAGTATCTCTCCCAGTCCAGTGCTTCTCACGCCTCAGAGGCGATGGAGTCGGAGAGATACTATGGTGGTGTATAGCTTGTATTTTGAACTTTGCATGGAATTTACAACAATAAAGTTGGATTTTTATGGACCTCGGTCTCTTCTGGCTGATTGGAGAGATATTGTTTGACGAGTGGGAGCACACTGCAGCCTGCACCCAATGATTGATCTGCAGTCTGGTGGAATTGGAGCGGTGAGTTTTTTTGGATTTAGCTTCTGGAACTAGTTTGACTGCTTTATATGTACGGTTTGTAGTTGATGGACCATCATGGCTGTATACAGCAGTATGCAAAAAAGCAAATTATTCCTTTGTATACCCTGCCCATTAACATTCTGTTGTTGTTCTATTCTAGGAAGAGAACAGTTTCATGGCCTGGGCTCTATGTACTGCAGATCAGCCTCTGCCATTATCCTAACCTATGATGTTAGCAATATGCAGAGCCTCCTGGAGCTTGAAGACCGCTTCTTAGGCCTCACCGATACTGCCAGTGACGATTGCCTCTTTGCTGTGGTGGGAAATAAAGTTGACCTGACTGATGACTATGAAGGAGACCGAGAATTTGAGGAGGAAAGACCTCGCACCTGTAGTACCTCCAAAGTTCGTAAACAGGTCCAGTCAGAAGATGCCATTGGCCTTTACAAACGCATAATGAAGTACAGGATGGTGGATGAAAACCATGCACCAGCTGCAGAGAAGATGTGTTTTGAAACCAGTGCAAAGACTGGACACAATGTGGATGTGCTATTTGAGAGTGTTTTCAACATGGTCATACCATTGATTGTGAAGAAGAAAGCCAATGGACCAGAGGACACGGTCAACCTTGCACAGAGTAGTAAGAAACAAACAAAGTCTGGCTGTTGTTAACCATTTATATCACAGGCTACCGAGCAAAGCCTGTTGATGGAATAGATGCAAGCACAATTATTAGGCTAAATACAAAAATGGCTAAGAATGCTGCCATTAAAGTGAATGGAACTTTGCACAGAATCTGTTGGGACATTGTATTGAATACTCAAATTACTACCTTATTAATTATTGTGATTGAAGATCTTGACCTTAAAAAAAAATAAAACTGTCAAAGTGTAGGAAGAAACAAAAGTAGCTTATTTAATGCGGGCAGCAAGCAATAGCAAAGTGCGTTAACCATTAGCATCCATAAATAATTCATCAGAGCAGTTAAAACAATAACAGATTGAATGTGATTGTATACTAATAGATAACAGTATTTTTCTCTTCATCAGAGGGGAAGTCATACTTACACATGCTGCTTTTTGTGCCTTTGTTTAAAACCGTTTGCTGTTTCCTACTTCATTGCAGTCTGATCTGAAAATATCTCCTTCTGTTTGACTGTTCTGTACATACCTAAAAACTCTATTTTTTCTATTAAAAATGTATGTGGGGAACAATGAATTTGTATCTTCAGCCTAATGTATAACATTTAATTGCCAATATTAGTTTTCAAGTGGTTTGTTTTCTGGCATAGTTTCGGGTCAGCTGATCTGTTTTTTCCCATGCCTGTTATGCTTGTATGCCTTGCATTGTTTTCTATACCACAGACATATATATATTTATCTATTGAATCAAGACGTATGGGAAAAATAATTTATCATCCTTGACCAGTGATTTTTTTTTTTTTTTTTTGTAACCAAATACCAATGATTGATCTGACACTGAACATTCTTAAATACAGATATGAACTTTCTTGTGAAATGTATTTTGCTTTTATTCTGTCAGTAGTGATTTTGTCTATTTAGCATAAGTGACATGCTAACAAGGGAGGGTAGTTTTACACCAATAACTATTATTAAAGAAAAATGTGAATTCCTGCATCAATGTAAAGATCCCTAGAGAAGAACCTCATGTCCTGTTTGCGCCTAAACTGATTAAATCAAATAACCAACCTCAATGCAGTAACAAAACACAAACATACTCGCTGCTTATGGGATACCCATGTCTCTACCAGAAATGAGTGAACGCTTTTAAAACAATTAGGCTTTTACTTGGTTTACTAATCCTCAGTCATATGTAATAGATGAAAGTTTCTTGAGAAATGTGTCTAAGTTACCCGTATTGTATTGTTAAAGTGCTTTTAAGTAACTGTTTTAGTCCTGAACCCCTTTTGAGCCCTAAATGTCCGAGGCTCAGGCTGTAAAAAGGGCATCAATGTTTGTTTAACCAAGTTGAGATTAAGCTCTGCCCACTGTCATTCATGTGTCAAATGCCAAACTCTCCACTGCGGCTCTGGAATTCGACAATTTAGTGACAGGAAGTGGGGCTTGGCACCAAAGAATGTACTTTTAACTTGAAGAGAAGGCAAAGGGTATGTAAATATATGTATGATAACCAGGTCAAATAAGGAAAGAAAAGCCGGAAAAAAAATACTAATGCAGGCACCACATCTAAGGACTTGTAAGCTACAACATATAAAATTCCCTGGAGCACCTTAGCCTACTGTGGGTTTGGCTGCACCCCCTAACCCCATCAGCACAACCCCTTGACTGGCCCCTAAATTTACAGCTGTCCAGTGTACTGTAAAGATGTGTTTTCTGTCCTCGCTCTTGGACAACCTTAGTTTATCTTTAAGTTAGATTGTCTCCTCTGCCTTAGTCCTCCCCAGGTTCAGCCTCACTTGGGGAGATTAGCGCAGTGGGTGCCTCTGGTATTGGGACTGGTAGCTGCCTGTGTAAAGTACAGGATGTATTCCTAACCTGACAGAAGGTCTGGCAGGTCCAATCAGTTGCATATAGGACCAGGAGCTCCTGCACTGTACTTGTCTATCTCTGTCTAGAGTCTTTGGCAGAGCACACACCTTTTTCTGGCCGTATGGTGCCCCATTCTCCCTTACACACAATCTTTTGTATCACTTGTGCTGCACCTTGGGCTTTTTGGAGTGTAGGCATGGCTGGCTGAGTGGGTGTAATACTGCTAGGCAACAGTAGATGCTGCTGTCCTGATTGGCGACCAGCTTTGGCTCTTGTTCCTCTGGCCTGGCTGATATTTTCTGTTGGTTTTTGGAGTGGGAAACATATTTGTTCTTTTTGTTTTTTTTCATGCACAGTGTCTGGTGTTTGCACTACTTGTCTTTAAAGAACTAGCTTATGATAAAGAGACAAAGGAACTTTGTTCTTACATCAAAAAAAAGCAGTGGCAGATAGCATAAGGGAATACACAGCTAGCAAGCCTTGAGAAGGCGCTCAGCCGTTTCGTCTAAGGATGAAGTTCTTCTCCTAGGCAAAGGGCACAAGATTAAAACTCTGAGTGCAACTCTGAGGAAGAGAAATTGGTTGATTGACATGGCATCTAAACAAAGATTGTGTTCCATCCCATTTCAGGACAAGTTTCTTTTTGGCAAGATGTTAGAGAAAGCCATTTAGCAGGTGTCTGGTGGTAAATCTGGCCTGATTCCACAGAAGAGATGTTTTAATCAGCCTTTTTGAGCAAATAAAAGGCCCAGGAATCAGGATTGTAAGTAAAGATTGTTATTCTGGGATGGAATATTACAGAGTCTCCTGAAAGAATGTGCGATTGACTTTCCATAGAACTAATAAGTCTAGGCTGTCTTACAAGTCTATCAGTCTTCTAAGAACACAGATAAGCCCTGAAGGTTTGTCCAACCAAGCTGTTCTTGTTGGTGCAAGACTTTGGCACTTCAGAAAGGCTTGGGCAAGGTTGATTTTAGACAACTGTATTGTAAACATCATGGAGAATGGCTATTGGATTAAGTCTTCTAAGAAGCCTTCCGAGGCCTACTTTATAGGGATAAGAATCCCATCATCTCCAGAGAAACATCAGTATTTGTGTTCTTAAGTCAAAAAATTGTCACATTCACGTGCAATCATTCCTGTTCCAGAAAATTGAATAAGGCATAGTGATTCATTCTCCTCTGTTCCTGGTGAATAGATCCTCCTAAAAGTTCAGGCTGATGCTCAAACTCAAGTTCCTGAATACGTCTGTAAAGGTTCCTCCTTTTTGTATACGGTCAAACCATTATCTTTTCATTCTGCCACCATCAAAAGTTTGTGGTTGGCACAAATCATTACCAGTTTGTGTTTTGCCCTTTCGGCTCGTGCACTGCCCCAAGGACCTTCTCAAAGATCCTTTCCTCCGTTATTGCTTTCTATAGCCTTCATGGTGCCAGAATCTTTTACTATTAAGACGGCATGCTGTTCCTCCAGGAATTTGTTCAAAGAGTGATGAGATCTATGTTGATGGTGAGCGACTGCATGCATGTTCTGGGTTTGCTCACAGCAACAAGTCTGGCTGTTACATCAGCGAAGTGGCATCGGAGGATCTGTAACCTCCTCATCTCAGATGATTCATCCTTCTGTCAAGATGAGTGAGTCTTTTGCTTGGTGGTTTGAGCCCATCAACCTCTCACAGGGTAGTGACCATTGGGTCAGAGGCCAGGAATCATGTGAACAATGGATGCTAGTCAAGAGGATTGGAGAGCACACAGCGTAGGTCACCAGGTTCGGGGTCACTGGGCAAGGTGATCCACCCTACCATCTGATCTCCAGGAATTGGAGGCTATCTTCCATTCACTCAAGTTCTTTGACAGTCTGTTATGACACCAGCTGTAGCTTATAAAAACAGACAAGGAGATACCGTTGTCTAACGATCTATCGAGACTGCATATAGGCTCAGCGACCCCAACGAATGGACATTGACCACTGATTATCTGAGGAGGATATTTGACCAATGAGGAGGCCCAGAAGTGGACTTGATGGTGTCCACTGCCAACACTGTCCTACATTTTTTTTTCTTGGGCTAGATCAGTGATGGCGAACCTTGGAACGCCAGCTGTTTTGGAACTACAAGTCCCATGAGGCATTGCAAGGCTCTGACAGCCACAGACATAACTCCCAGAGGCAGATGCATGTTGGGATATGTAGTTTTGGCACAGCTGGAGTGGCAAGGTTCGCCACCACTGGGCTAGATCCTCTGGCTCTAGCCCAAGATGCTCTGGTAGTAGCATGCGACTTTCATCTGGTATACATATTTCCTCCAAATCTATTGATCTTACAGGTCCACCTGAAGATTCAGGGGGAGCGAGTATCGGCAATTGCCAGCCTTCCCTTCTGGCCTTGGTTTCCATTACTCTGGAAGATGAAAGTAGAATCACCAATTCCTGTGCCAGTAGTTTTGGATCTCCTGTAGCAAGGTGAACTCCAACACCTGAATCTCAAAGGTCTCAATTTAGATCTGAAATTAGAAGCACTAGTGTCTTGGTTCATGAAGGCTGTTGTGAAAATCAGAGAATTCTGAATTAGATGAGGGGGACCTGTTCAAATTGGATGTGAGAAAGAGAGCCTTAGCACTCTTACCTTTTTAAGAACCAGCAGTTTTAGAAGGTCGACACACCACATGCTCCACGCTCCACAACAGGCTCCAGGAGATATCTGATGGTTTCCCCAAAAGCTCCCTCAGCTTGGAATGCGAAGACTATTTGGCCATGGGTCTTACTCCTCCAATAGAGATTCACTCTCACTCTACCAGGGCCATGTCTGATTTACGGTTGTCTTTCGCCAAGGTGTCAGTCTGCATGGCAGCCAGCTGGTTGACATTTAACATCTTCATTCAACATTACAAGATTTATGTTTCTTTGCATCCTCTGGGTTCTTATGCTTCTCCTGTTGTGTCTTCAGTTTTGAGTAAATTATTTCACAGTATTTTATGTATGGATGTTGCAAATTACCTCCCACAGTAGGCTGACATGAGGTGCTGCAGGAAAGCGGAAAACTGTTTACCCCATATTTACCGCAATTTTCCTTTTCTGGTGCATCCTCATGTCAGCCTAGTGTTCCCACCCTGTTCTGTTTTCAAGTCTTTCCATGGAGTTCCTGTACACTGGGCAGCTGGGCAAAGGAGGGACTAGTCAAGGGGTTGTCCTGAAGAGGTCCAGGGCAGAGCCAAACCTGCAGTAGACTGACATGAGGATGCAGCTGCAAAGAACAATTATGGTAAGTATGGGGTAAACCATTTTCTCTTTTTTGTTTTATAGATTTAAGTACACTTTAGGAACCTGTGCACAGCCTGGGTTAAAGACCCAAGAGCCTCCTAGTGATATTAATTTGATGAGTTACAAAGTTAGTCTCACTGTAGTTGGCACTATAACGGCCATTTTACTGCAGCTCTTTCAGTTGCGGTACCATTAAAAAATTTAATTTCCTACATTTGACACACTACGCAAGTTTTGAAAAAAATTGCTTTATACATGTGACTATGGAATAAAGGGAACGGTGTGGTGTGTATCCATCATGCAGGTTTTGACTGCAACAAACTGGTTCTAACATTTTTATTACGTAAGCACTGCAGATGTCATCAGACTTTTAAGATCTTTTTCGCTGGGAAATATCCAACTGACAACACTGAGTCTATGAACAGTCTTGATTGCCTCATAGCAACAAATCAGATTCAAACCTGCACATCCTCCAAGTAAAGTGGAAGTAAAAAAAATAAACAGTGCAACTGGCTGCTACTGTGCAGCACAGAAAATTATACCAAGCACTGTAATAAATTGAGATGGTAGACTCCATTTATATGTAATGAAAGGTGAGTAATTATAAAATATAGTTTTATTCAAGATAATCACAACAACATAGTCTTGGGAATGAAATATAAAAACAAAGTTGAGTAACAAATGTCATAAAATTGCAGTCACTTTTTTGTCATGTGCTTATGATATTATTGAAGGTTGACCTTATTGTTTGCAGTATAGATCAGAAGTGCGATTTATAAAGAGTAGATTTGTCTACAGTTTGCTTCTACACACTGAGCTTTGTTGCTTCCTCACAGGTGATTAGGAAGTAAGAGTAGTAGAAGAGCTGAAACATTTCTTGTGTTCTCACTTTCAAAAGGAGGTGATTTCCTTTAAAAATGTCTGTATGAAGGTGTGCCCATTTGCAGTCAAATGTTTAGAAACCAGAAAGAAGTGCAGATGTTATGGTTGTGCCATGTTCAGGTGTGTAAATGAAATCAGTGGCGCGTACACTAGATGGTACTTATGTGAAGGTTTAAGTCTTCCAGTACAGAAGGTCCAGGAGGCTACAGAGAGTCCTGTTTCTGTTATTAACATGGGGGCACAGTTGCTTCTGTTTCTTTACTATTTCATAAAGGGGCTCATGTATGAACCTTCCGCCCAGTGAAAAGCTGTAATCATGTAGTAAATGTGCCGAACAGCTCTTATTTAGAATTGCCTTGTTGAGCGACAGCATTGATAAATGACCCCTGCTGTTTTCAAGGGTAAGTTCACATTCTCACAAAATATGAAAAGATGAACTTACCAACAGCACCTTGCCTCCTTATTTCTGGCTCAGAAGCACTTCTCATTGGTCAGTGTGGTCATGTGACCGTGGTGACCAGTAAGCGCTCGCCATTTGGAAGCTTTATGAGCATTCAACATCACGGGGCTGGGAAGTCTAGTGTATGGTGTACAGACCGCTAGAAAGGCTGGAGGGGGGCTTCAGGCATGTAAGGGCAGGGGGGGGGGGGGGGGGGGTA